GTTATTTAGTTACACGATCAATTACTCAGTTAGGTTTAGTCATATGATTTACTAAGTTGTACAGCCAGTTACTCATTTAGATGTACAGTCAGTTACTTCGTTACACGATCAATTACTCAGTTAGTTTTGGTATACAGTCACATATTAAGTTGTACAGTCAGTTACACAGTTACTTTTATAGTCACCAATTACTGTTAGCTGTACATACGCGCATTGTTTTAATGAGCCGTGAATATTAATGATAGTCGTTTTCATTTTGACTGGTTTCGCTTGAAGCGCAAGTTCAACATTTGCAGTACTTGCAGAGTTGTGTTGATACACATGGTAAACACACACTTTTACATTTAGTATCATTGAATAAAGGGGAAAATTAAAATTGCCTTGTGCTCATCCTTGACATCTCTGTGGCCCTTTACTCACCCCCTTGACCGAATGATTCTTAAAAAGGGATATTTAACGACCACAACCCCCGCCCCGACAACTGGTCGACTCCCCCCTTCCTCCTTGAACATCACTGAAATGGGAGTGTGTGAGTCTATAACAGCAAATGTTACTCTCATAATTAGTGTTGTGCTCTGTCTGGTAGACACCTGGTAAAATTTAAGTTATTAGATCTATTGTTTTCTTCACATGTGGAGTCACTTATGACGACATCGCAATTTGACTGACTACGTGGAATTTCTAGACGCATATTCAGCATATTTGAGATTTCTTTGTCTTGCCTATTATTTGATTAAACCCAAAACTGTAAAAACAATTTCCGAATCTTTTAAAGTCGGGAAAAAACAAATAGTCTGAATACAGATTTACAAGTTAAAATAAATTATGAAGGAAAGGATTAAGATTATAAGTTTTTAAAAGTAAAAGGAAATCTATAGATTAAGAGATACTTAAGTTTTTTTTGTGACATTGGATGTAACTATATTTTGACAGATGTCATGAAGGCAGAGACAGAAAAACTAGGTTTCATTTCGCATTTGGAAATCTGAGTGGATCCTAATTTTATTACAGTCTGAAATTCACATCTAAACAGACAAAAATCTCGAGTCAGTCGTTTTCCATTACGTCGATATCACGTGCGGAACATGAAATTAAAAGGAAAATTAATCTGATTGGATGATGACGCCCTGTCATGTAGACTATAAAACAATCGGCGACAAATATCAAACTGGTTTGATATTATAAATCCTGTCGGCATCGGAAAAATCTTATCGTGCAAGCGCGCGCACACATGTGAGATTCAAAAATCGGCGACCAATGAAAATAGTAATACATATGTAACTGTAGATTGGTAGATAAGAATAAATCGATGTCAATTCATTCTTCTGCATAACACTGGATTTAATTAGAGAGTCTGGATGAGGTCGTTGTGGGTCCTTTTTGAGAAAGGTCCTCTTTTTTAGATTCAGGTTCTCAACTTTTTTTTAGTCTCGCGGTCACCTTTTCAGTTAGGGGCCAGCTTTGCGGTCCTAAAACTCTACATTCCCATGCCCATTTTTTTTTACAATCATATACCACAACATTATTTTTCATAATTGAGTTAAATTGCATGACACAATAGAAGAACAATTAACAAAATGATTACATTGTCTATAATTAAGACAACCGTTGAGTTGTTGCTTAACGCGACTACGGACCCTAGGTTGAGAACCTCCGGCATAGATGATATTCATGTGATACCATCATTATAATATACTGTTTCAGTTTTGTAACGAACACAGGCCATGGTCGCAATATTGTTACATCTTGGCAAGGTGTTTGTGGACACTTGGATTCACCTCAGCTAGTTTATTTAGTGCAAAGAATGTGAAATGGAGACAAAATTGTTTTATTTACTGTTACGGGTATTGCTGTGTGACATCTGTTACGTGTTTTGTCATTATTTGTACGTTTTATTGTCATCTTCACGTGTGAGAGATTTGTTGATTTTGGTCAATTGTATAACTTCAATACTTACAAATTTTGCGTCGGGTTATCACTTTGTTAAATTGTTCGATAGAGTACACAGATGCCTTTTTACATGTATATGTCTTTTGTAGATTCGGGCCATATATAGCGTCTATCTGAATATGAAATGATATTTCAGTATCCCGGGAAAATTTTGCCACGACTACATGCCTCATTTATAACTCTTGTAATACAAAGACGTGAAGCTTAATCTCTGTGGATAGAAATTGAAACTTTGCTCTTGATTGACGAATCAAGACAGGTAATGCCATCAATGGGCATTGAGGGAAATTTTGCCAGGACAGCTGTATACGCCTAATCTTTTCATAAATATTTTAAAGTTTTTTGATTTATTTTTTCATTATTCTTTTCAGGGACTATTTAGTTCTTGAATATATATGTAACTAGAAATGTACGAAAAACGCACAATTCCTTCAAATATACTTCAAACTAGGAATTTATCTTTCTATTGCTCTGTATGTCTTTTTCTAAATTTATCAGGATCTCATGAAAAAATGAGTCATTATAACTTTTAAATGCAAATAATTCTGGACACACATGGATTTGAATGCTCACATTTCGACGGTGGTACTTTGGTCAAAAGTATGGCGAATCTGTCAATTTAATTACACTATGACATCACAAAACTTTTTTTCTGTCTAAGACGTCATATTGAATAAGGCTCGGCATTCAGGCTCACATTTATGTGAGAAGCAACATGTCTGTCCATTTACGTGGCGTAACCATAGCAACATTTTTTTCTGTATTTATTCAGTTGCTAGATTTTGTATGTCAACAATACAGCTAATTAGTAACAAATTTGTTCAAAACCTTTTTATGAACATCTTAAAGGTGCAATCCTGAGTTATATTCTTTTGCAAAAAAGAAATGATACATTTGTGCATAATTCTATAATGAATGTGTATTTCGGTGCCTTTACATCTTGTGGTTATGTGCTTGATCACGTTGTTCATCTCAGACACTTGTACTTGTGTATTCTTCTGTATATATATCGTTAAATTGTGATGGCTTGTACATCTTTTGTGGTCATGTACCTAATTACAGCAACATAATCTGTCAACGTAATACACTTGTACTTGTGTATTTTTCTGTATATATATCGTTAAATTGTGATGGCTTGTACATCTTTTGTGATCATGTACTTAATTACAGCAACATAATCTGTCAACGTAATACACATGTACTTGTATATTTGTTAAACAGGTTGTCAATCGAGGTATTGTGTATTTTTTTCTCCATTATATTGTCCCCATGGGCTGAATATTAGACAAGACCATGGCCTTATGTATTGTAATTGTATTATTATTATTATTATGTCATGGCCCCCAGAAAAGAGGCTGACCCGGCTTTGCAACCACCTTAGCGAGGGAAATATTTAATCCGGAAACGAATTTCATATTACATAAGAACGTTTAAAAGATTCTATTTATCACTCAACTATCAATAATTTCTATAAATTCCTTGCACTTTGTCTATATAGGACTTTCATTAAGTCATTGCGCGTAACAAAAAAGATTTTGGTTAAAACAAAATTTGTGATTACTACATTGAAATTTTTAATGGAAATATTATTTGGAACAATTTCATGCATTTCACTTTCAATTGTCATCAACTTCAAAGAATGTCATATGGATCATGAATACATGACCTAATTTACATAGTTATCCTGCTCTACGATATCATATTGTTTTTATGTAATGTACCGGAAAACTAGGCCACTAGGGAGATGGGAGAGATGACCAACAAAAACCCAAAGAAATGGAGATTCCACGAATAATAATTTTATCGTAACCTAAAGTATATCCATTAAAACAACGTCAAATAGTTGGCATGGCAAGTATTTTATTCCATGACACGCGGTAGCCATCTTCCTAACAATCTTCCTGGCTACCCACCCTGCAAAGCACAGCTTCGTCGCAACTACGGTCTGCCTACAGTAGCGGTTTTAGTAAGAGCTAATTTAACCTCAAAAACTGGCCAAAATCGACCATTTTTTAGTTATTTTGATCAGGAAAATTTTCAAATTTCGACCACAAATTTTTTTTCTGTTTTTTTGGCTGATATGGATTTGTTTCAAACTTGCTTCCGGCTCTTTGGTGAAAAACTAGAGGCGAAAACTGAGCAATTTTTATCAAAAAAGGGCAAAATTTCAGCTCCTGTAACTTTGGAACCAGTTGAGATAGGGCATCCTAAATTATGGTGCTTTGTAGAACCAGATCCTTTCTATTAGTCCCAATCATAATAAAAAATCATAAAAAACACCGACAATACTCAGCCTATTTCTGGAATTTCGGAGATTTTTACCTTTTCGGGATCGAATTCAACATAACGAAAGCTTTTTGGGCCATCATTTGATCATACTGCTTATACTCGAGTTACTATTTTGAACTCACCAGTAACAGTACTAGTAGGTCGAATTTTCGAGTTACTTTTAAATTTTACAAATTAAATCGGATTTTCTAGTAAAATTACTAAATCAGATTTCCCAGTCACCGATTCAGATTGAGCTGTATCACGAACGTCGCTATAAATTCTGTTTTTCAATATATTAATCTATCAGCTTTAAAGCAAAAAAAGAAAAAAGACTTTATGATCGTGACTGTAAGATTATAAGAAGCTTTGAAGGCTGCAGTTTTTAATAGGTAAGTGTGTAGTTTTTTTTTAGATGACCACTTGTTCTTACTTCAAATGAGCTTTCAATAAATTTGTTATCTCCCTTCAATCTTGTTTTTTTGTGTAGTCGGGATGAAGTAACTCTGACACGAATTCTGTCCCCGCAATACCGCGCAATTGGTTGTAGCAATTTCGGTACTTTGCAAAGGAGGGTAGCGTTTGCGGGCTGTTCGCGCACTGCACATGCATCATTAACGCACTGTAACGCAATGCAAGACCAATAGTCGCTGGGGGATGTCAACAAAACGAGGTTTCCATGTTCTGATTTCCAAAATTTTTAGGGAAAATATCCTGGACCTCTCACCAAAGCGCTTCGAATATTCGGCGATCTCGGCTTCGCGGACTCGTATCAGCCCCCGTTACGTATTGCATTTTCTGGGTAAAGCATAGCCTTCTAAACCTGGCTTAACAGACACATTGTTGACAGAATTGCCACAGCTTCGACATTGCATAGTTAATTTAGTTGCCTTTGCCTTGACATTTGATGCTGCTATAATGATGCCAGGTATTTTGACTAATCTTGACATTTGATCAGACTGAAAATAACAAATACAAAATTTTCGAATTGGTCTGTTATCTATGGTGGTCAGAGTGAAAATAAATACAAAATTTTCGAATTGGTCTGTTATCTATGGTGGTCAGAGTGAAAATAAATACAAATTTTTTGAATTGGTCTGTTATCTCTGGTGGTCAGATTGAAAATAACAAATACAAAATTTGGATATTTGTCATCATGTTTTGTTTTTAACCCTTTGAACACAGAGTGTAAAGGAAATCAAAAATTGTACAGCCTGAACTTTAATATGACTTATATGTATACAACAGTAATGTAATGGCACTTGGTAACGGCCATGTTACCGGCTGTTCAGGTACATATCACAAAGACTGGCCACTAGGGTGGAAAGGGTTAATTAGTCTGTCAACCCTCATGGTCAGACTGAAAATAACAAATTCCATCATCCCTCATCAAATTATTTTTACTGCTAGTGAGAATTTTACCTTTAAGTCTCTAATACAATAAGGGTTGGCATTGGAGGTCAAGGTTATCTGAATATCTTCTACATCTTCTTCACCTTCAGGTCTCGGTCTTGTCACCTCATCAGCTACTTCCTTAACAGCATCTTCAAACTGTAATATCAAAAATCAAAATTCGTAATTTCATGTGTAATTTTTGCCTCATAGAAAAATGCTATTGCTTTGATCTGTTATTATTGACCACAATATTACAGCTTATTGTGGGTATGTTATCTACTGAAGGGAACCTATGTGGAAGAGATTACCGTACTACTTGTCGGGGTCGAGTGGGGAAAATGTAACTTTGGTTTATAATTGATTACAAACTTTGATAACGAAATTATACATTCATAGCGATGGTAATCAATTATTTGGATCATTTTAACCAGTCCTAATGACAAACACTGTCCATGTCATCAGGCTTTGTCATAATAACAATAACATCGCTGAAAGCGAAGAACCACGACTTTGACAAAAGGATCCTGGACTGAAAGTGGCCAGCTTCTGATTTTCATGCTACTACTCATACTGTGATCGCTGGTTTTCCATATCTTCGAACTTTGCTAGGTACTTCATTCTGCAGGCATCTTGTGATTTTAGAGATAAAAATGGCTGCTTAAGTAGCTTGTTGATTAGTAATCAAAGGGGTATAATAAGATTTTCTTTAGGTCCTAATTGCTTTTATTAGTTTAACCTTGTTATCAATTCATTATCATATTCATGTATCATGTACAGATGGTTCCCGCTTTACTCAAGGCATGCATGGTCTGAAACAACTTCGTGTAAGTCTACAGTTGACTAGTCATAGAGTAATTTGTTAATAATAAAACTATGCGTATAAAATATAGATCTACGGTTGAATTGTATATCCACTTCACTGACATTTGACTTACCGAAATTTTGTAAGAGAAATTTCCTTCGTGAAACTGGCGAATAAAATCTTTAAATCTCTTCTTAACTTGTTGTCTATTGATGTGTTGTTCGTCATGTTGCTCCTCTGAACCAAAATTATCACTGAAAAACACTCCAGCATCATCAAAACCTGCCATTTTCACTCAAAATTTGCAAGTTCTCTTCTTCGATTATTCTTTGTTTGCTCGAGTGGTTCAGATTTGGCGGGAGAAAGTTCGCGCCAGTTGACAACATCCGGATTAGTCCCGATTAATTTAGTCTTTCAATGTAGTTTTGTTGTGTTTGAAAGACTTGTTAATCAATTCTATTTGCCCCCAAAAAGGTCGTGTAAAACAAGACTATAGCTTTTATTGTCATACATAGAACACAAAGAAGAAAATTTTGAAGCCAAAAAACCGGCATAATCTGACCTTTATAACCTTCTTTTAATGGCATATTAAATACTATCATATCATTACATTTATTATTTTAACAGAATGCAAGTGAACAGGCTTTTTCAATTTTTACCATTTAGAAACTTTTTTTGACGGATTATTTCTTCATGACTAGGTGTTCAATTTGTCTTTTCAAAATTTCAATTCGTGATATATAATGTACAAAATCTACTGTATTCTTTTATAATTGACGTCAATCATTTATTTTATCAAAAACTTAATGAATAGCCTTTAGTGGTGATTTTATACTTGGCGATGAATATTGATGATGACTTAAAGACCTGTTGAAATAAAAGGACAAACCCAGGCGTATATAGTGGTAAGCTTGTTAAAAATTGTGGACATTAATGCAATTGATTACTGGCAAAAGTGATCTAGACATGGAAAGAGACGCTTCTTGAATAAGCTTAGTGTAATATGTCCATTTTTGAGTGTGAATCAATTTAACTTGTTTAACAAGAGTCGTCTCCCTTTAATGTCTCATTGACAGTGCACTATGTTTGAATTAAGCATAATATTGACACATAGATGTATGGCAAAATACAGAAATAACTCGAAAAATAAAATGAATGGAGTTTCCGCAAAATGAAAGCTAATGAAGACAGGCAATGCCATGCAGGGTGCAATGAGGGAAATTTTGCCAGGACAGCAGCAGTAGCCTACTCTTTTTCGATTTTCAACTGTCGAGGGATCTTTAACGTACACAACCTGCAGCACACGGGGCCTTGGTTTACTGTTCCACCCGAACGACGCTTTTTCCATGTCAGCCCCTCTTACCTGCATCACTGACAAGGGGAACCGTGTTGAAATTTCCGAAGGTATTATCTCAACCTATTCAGGTAAGCGTGCAAGCGTGCAAGCGTCTAACTCACTGAGTCACCTTGGTTCTCAGAAATAACTGGAAACAAGGAAGAAAACCTCATATAAAATCACACAAATTTAACATTAAAACGTCCTGGTTTATGCATTTACGAAAGTGTTTTTTGACCTGCCCCTTCAAATTAAACGTAAAATCGTTTGACATGTCGAATTATATAGGCTTTATGGCTTAAAAGATTTTACAATATTAAAAAAATTGACACATATTAAGTACACTAGAGGGTGTTATGTTTTTTTTTTAGCATTTCTTTTATTGTAAAGCGGACGCATGTAGTTTTAATGGAGCTTTTTAAAAGAAGCGTCTATAAACGTTTCATAGAATATACTTTTGTTTATTCAGCGATTTTAACACTGATTTATTCTTTACAATGTAGAATATGTAAAAACAACACGCGAATAGCACAATTGAATAGAATTGAAAAGATATATATTAACATAATTATAAGATATACAAAGATATAAGACTATTCTTTAAAACCAGCGAGTACGTTGATGTTTAAATCTAGATCTTCACTGTGTCAAGTTATTTCTAACCTCCACTTATACCTTGACTGCAACAGTCACCTTTTTGTATCATGGTTTTGTAAATGCAGCGATTTGGATGGATTGTACATTAGTGAATATAGCAAATCAGAGCCTCCGACAGAAAGTCTGTAAAAAATAAGCCATATAGTATTTACAGTATTTCTGTCGAGGGCGATTCGCTGGCGTACAATCCAATCAAATCATTGCATTCTATGATACAAGAAATGTGGCAGTCAAGGTATTAGACGAAGTTCGTAATAGCTTGGCATTGTGAAGAAGATCGGGTCTCTTTCCGATGTTTCAAGTTTCCCAGTAACCATAGTGAAACACATCGTTACATGATAATTAATTAGAAACAAGTTTGCTTTATTTCACTGAATGGAATAAACTGCCTCTATACACCAAACAAAATTGCTCTATTTTGAATTAAAAAAAAACCTACAAATTACTATTTTAATAAGGCTTTTGTTAAGTGATTTTGACATATTTTTGTTGGTAAGCAGTCATTTTGGTACAAGTCAGTTAGACACGGTATTTTAGGCACATGCACTTTTCTTAGGCATATAGGTCGTTGGCGCACTCTTATGAGTATGTACCTAATTGTCAAATATAATTGTACCTAAAATGTGCGTGGCTAAATACTAATTGAAGTTGTGCCGAAATCACAGTGCCTAAATATCGCTGTACCTAAATGACATGTGCCTAAATTACCGTGGCTATCTGACATGTGCTTAATATATTTGTGCTTTAATGACAGTGATCCATTTTTGTAACAGTAGGCCTACTTTTCATCAATTTGTACACCACTTGAGCAGTCATACTGAATGTACCAGCTATACAAGATATATGATAGGGTTATTAAGAAAAGTTGGAGTCCGTATCAAACAGGTCACAGATTACATCACGCTCATATTTAGGTTTAAGCACACTGACAATTTGATTGTTTATGATACAGAAAAAATCTTCACCCCTCAAAGTCAGCTAATCTTGTTTTTCATGCCTCTTGGTATTTCGTTGTTCTCTGACAATAGAAATAGGTTGGTCCCTTTCTACTGTATGATCGTGACTTAAAGGGATTGTAAAGAGGTTTTTAATTTTTTTTTATGTGTATCGGGAACACTGATAGCATCAATTTGCGCTGTTCCAAACTTCAATAAGATGTTTTATGACGTCACTAATCTCAAAATATGCACGCATCACAGAATGTCATTCGAGATTAGTGACGTCATCAAATACTTAGTTTAAGTGACATTGCATGAATCACTGGCAAATCGATGCTATCAGTGTCCGCGATACACGTAAAAAAGAATTCTACAAAACTGCTTAACAGTGAGATCAGAAAAATTTTATTTTATTTTAGTACTTCTGAAGACTATTTACATATATTCAAGACTTAAATCAACCCCCAAAAATGGCGCATCTGTCCCTTGAATAGATTTTAAAGTTTTCTGAAAAAATGATACCAAACATCACCCGATTTTATAATGTAAACATTTATGCTCTGTTTAACTATCCTTGACTTGGCTTTTGAATTAGTTTGAATCAGCGAGTATTTATTTCTGATGCGAACTATAAAGTTGTTATTTTGAAAACAAGCTTTAATTCAGTTTGGACTGGTTTAACCTTGATTTTGTAAGTGCGTAACTACATTTTAAAGGTACATCCCACAATATCAATGGATACAGTTTCCTTCAAAGCTGTATAGAACCACATCAAGACAACGCAAATATATTTTTATGTAATAAGTACTACTTTGAAGATGTTATTCATATTCTTACGAGGACAGTATAGTGTGAAAGGTTATTGTCGTTATGTAATTTAGAGAATTTTTTCAGTTTTATTTCAAACGCACTCTAATCGTAGGTTGCCTTTTTTTTTTTATCAAAATAATAATTAAATTTGTTTTGCAAAACAAGTTTACGGCGTAAATATTTAACATACAGCACGACTTTTGTCATGATTCTCGGTGAGGACATGTTTCGACAACCTGGGTGCACATCTTTTGTTTGCACGGCCAGCAAGGTAATGTATAGCTCTTCTTTTTTGTCATAATGAATAACGTGTTTATTATTTTATATATATTTTGCGAGGCGGGGTCTGTGGGGATGGGTCGGTAGAGTTAATTGAGTAAGCAATTTAATTAGTTAAAATCTTGATTTATTTCATCAAGCAGGAAAAAAAATAGCATGTGCTATTCACAAAGATAAAATATCGATGAACTGATGTAGAATTGAAATGCCTTCAATCAAAAATATAGCGTTGGATATTCACGAGTTGAAGTATCACAGGAAAGTGAAATAATAGTATGAAACATAAACACCCTGAGCATGTGAGAATATCGAAAATAGAGTTTGAAACAAATGTTTATGTCATTTATTAATTGGCACGATGTAAATTGCATATTTATACACTGGCGCGTTTTAATCAACAAATTTTTACTTAGATTGTATTCAAACAGGCTACAGTTATAGTTACGCAACATGTCATGGTATTCATTGGCAGCCATTGCTTACCAGAGCGATGTCCAGAGTGTCACGTGGTCAGTGGCGGGGTCAGAGGTTGCAAGTTTTACGGGCAAAATTCTCATAACTAGGTTAGAGAATCTAGCAATCTCAGATATCTCGCCCCCTGTCGAATGTGAACCTGGCCCCGCCACTGAAAGTGGTCACGTGATTCTGGAGTTAAAAACATATCAAGAGCAGTTCGTTTGGGGACAACAAGTGTTTGTAAACCAATCCAACAAAAACAAAAACCTACATTACATAAACGTACGATATGTATTTAAAATGATAACGAAAATGCATAATTTTTAAACAAGAAACACATCATAATATTAAAAGCATAGTAACGTCACAATGTTATAATATGACAAACGAGCGGTTATGTCGGAAGTAAGAGAGGCTCGCCTAAGAATTAAAAAGTCTTTTTGATCTGTATACGAATGGCACTAATTGTAATATTCAATTAAAAAAAAAGAAAAATAAGCCTCGATTATTTTGGATTATGGTGTCACTAGACTTCGACCTCAGTCGAACATTGCCAGCATCATTCCGATTAGGCTGTGATAAAATAGTATGCAAATTGCTAAATAACAACGATAAATGTTTTGGACATAGTACCAGAAACAAATGACAAGAATGAATAACGTGAAAAAATAGAAAGTCCTTTTCAATTTCAAGTATGTTGTTACCAAGTTATGCAAATCAAGTTTTTTCACCAAATAGTGACCCGGAAATAAATGAGATTCTTGTGCATTCTAAAATTATGTGCTATAGAAAAATAAATAATATGTCTTTCATATATGAGACTGTATCACTTTTCAATTTTCCTTATTGAATAAAAGTTCGACCGAGTAATAAGAATTAAAAACCTTCCGCTCCGTGCTTATTTTTCCTTAACCATTCCAGTTAGGATCTAACCACTTTCATCTCATTGATAGCATCGCGAGCCAATCATATTTCTTCCCTCTCAAGCGCTGGGAATTCGTGACACAAACAAAATATGTATTCCGAGGAGCATTAGACTAGTTTATCAAGTATATTGAAACTGAACATTTTTTTATTGGCTGTTCAGAATTAGCTCAATGTAATTCGATTGGTTAAAGCAGGCCACATGCTTAGGGCGACGATTTTCCATAAGATGAAATAGAAAGGAGTTGTTAGATCTTAGCTGTAGTGGTGGAGTTAAAATAAAAGCTAATAACGCCTGCGTAACAAGAGTTATTAAAGAAAAAGTCCTTCGTAATCTCAACATAGAATAAACATCACATCTTTAATGTGATTTGGTTGATGAACACGACGTTCTCGTTTTCTCAGCTCGCGGCATGACGTAATTACTTGGGAATCCCCCGCCTCGTTTCTGACCAAAACATTTGTTCAGAACTTCCAATGTGGTTTCTGTTGTTAAGGTATTTTCTTCTTTGTTGCCTAACGACGGATTGACTTCTGCTACATCAATACAGTTTAATCGACCTGGAATGAAAAAAAAAATGAAAACATAATTTTACTTGTACACATGAAGATATTTAAACAAATATTTTCTAAGAGGATATTTAGAGTATAATATCACATATTTTTTAATCTGTACAAAAACATGTTATTGGTCGAACCAAGGGGCAAAGTAAATACCTTTGATCTGATAAAGATCATAATATATCTTATCAGTTAGCATTCGGCAATCCTCGGCAGTTTCCGTAAAGCTGAATATATTGCGAAGCGCTGGCTCAATGGCAAGCTATTACGAAATAGCCAACTGTTTTTTTTATCACAGAAGGTTGTAATGCGATGATTTGATTGGATAGTACGCTAGCGAATACAGTCAGAGTCATCCACAGAAAGCCTGTAAAACTTATGGCTCAGTGCTTACAGATTTTCTGTGGAGGCCCCCGATTCGTACAATCCAATAATATTTAGTAATAACTTGAAATTGTGAAGATGTGTTCAGCCGGATCTAGTTTGCGTTCAACCGGTCGGCTAACCCATAAGCAATCAGTTTAGTCAGAATTCATTAGTATACCGGTTCTGAATTGATTGAAAAGCTCCCAGGCTTTACTAACCTGTGTTTGCTAATTCTTCCATAATATACTGCCCTTCTCTAAACGATAGACCTCCATGAACTGAAAAATACCAGAAAATAAAATAATTTACTCGTGTATATGAAATGGGATTTGTCATTGAAAAACCTAGTATATACTGGACGGGAAAGTCTTCCTCCTTTGCTATGGACTGAAATTGACATTAGAAGTACTTCTAGAGACTTACAGTTGGCAGGCTACTTCCGGTAAAGAGGGTGGGGTTCAAGAATCAGTTTGTAGTCTATGTGCATGGTCATGTGTGTGATAATGGATATAGAAGTTCCTTACTCTTTATTGTCAAAGCAACCATACTCGGCACTTGGTGAGGGAATGACAGAAGGAATGACACAGCACATTCGTAAAAAAAATTGACCTCATATTGACTGTCATCATTTTAAGCTATTAAAACCTTCGACTTATATACCATGGCCCCACGAGCAACCTTTTGCAGCGCTTTGATTGGATTGTATACGCCAGCGAATACAGTCAATCAGAAAAACTGCAAACATTATGCCTTAGTGTTTATAGACCTTTTGTCGCGGCCTCTGGCTGTATATGCTAGCGTACAATCCAATCAAATCACTACATTAGCAAACTGCCATTGTACTAGAAAGACGCTTATTGGTGTCAAGGTATAAGATTAAGTTAAGCAAGACATTGTGAAGATGGTTGACTATGTTACCTGGTGTTCCGGTAGACGGTGTTATGGTAGGATCTAGTGCGTCCACGTCAAAACTCAGATGAATTGGTCTGGTGCCGCTCGGGTCGATAGCTTTGAGAGCCTGTTCCATCACTTCGCGGATACCCAGTTTATCGACTTCTTGCATAGAAAAAGCTTTAATTCCAAATTTTTCAATAATCCATCTACAATGACAAAGGGTATGTAAAACATGTCTTGGTGGCCCAAGAAAGACCCCCACCCCCTTTTTTTAGTGCTATGTAGATTGTGTTATTTATGATCTTTATACAACTGAGCATAAAAAAAAAACCCTTTTAGAATCTATAGAGATCTATTTTGTGATGTACCTTTTCAATTTATTTGAGCAAATATTATGGAATTAAATAGCCACTGTTTTATTAAAATATTGAAAAAAAAAAAATCTAGAATAAATACATCTTCAAATGAAAATTGAATTAACATCATCATTGTACATAAACAACGTTTTCCTTTTTGAAGATCGACAAATAATGATGTAAGTGAGCGTAGTTTAAATATTATGATAAAAGACATGTAAATAAATGACAAGAAACGAAAATAATTTCAATGTATCTGCTAATGTCACCACGCCCTCCTAAAATTGATTTGAAATTAGGTCGTTGTGTGTATCGTTCGTCCAATGGTGTACATTATGGTAATATATCATCAGGTCATATAGCCCATTAATAGTACTCTTACCCACCTATTGGCAGAGCACTTCCGGTATAGAGAGCAAGGTTGAAATTCCAAGTCAGATTCAGTAGCGTTTCTACTTTCAATTTCCTTTTATCATTTTACATCCCCCAACCCGCCTGGTAAATTTCTGGCCACTGCTCGGCCCACACATGTGATGTTTTCTAGTAGTCTACGCTACTCGTCAGATTGTTGTCTGGGCAAGGTCTTTGTGATAGCAATACATTATATGAATATGGCCGCTTTTCTGCTCTTCAGCAGTAAAGAGAATAAAAGGCACTAAACCGTGCATATAGGATTTCACACTTTTTCTCAAGGGCAGTAGCTATGAAACATGGGGCAAATAGGAGCTGCAAAGTCAGACCAGTATCCGTTCTGAAATCGTAGACCTACCTCTCTCCTGGATCAACATCTCTTAAACCAATATAAACTAAATCTTTCACGGAGAGGCTGCAATAATAATTATAACTTACGTCAGAGTCAAAGTTCAAAATATATACTGAATTTGGGAAATATGCATTAGACGTGGTTGGTTTCGTTGGCCATTGATATGGTGGGGTAGAGTGACCCTTACAAACCAAATAGTAGTCTTGGTTTGTCAATATCGCTCCCATTGGTAGCAATTTGTATATATACATATTAGATATTTGAAAATGAGATATCGCTCCCATATGAAAATGAGAAATGACATATACGTGGTATTATGTGGAACGTAGAAGAAGAGGCTATGATAGTTTAAGTAAAATGATTAGTTCTGCAAACTGCACTCACCATGGCTTCACCCATTCAAATCCTTTAACTGTGGGCACGTAACCATCCAATTCCTTGACAATAAATGATAACGGCATACCATGAATGTTTCCAGACGGCGATGTAAGAGGGGTGTTGATATCTGCGTGTGCGTCTACCCATACGACCACCAAGTCTGGTTCTACTTGAGCATGTCCGTGAATTGTACCCATAGCCATACTGTGGTCACCTCCAAGATTTAAACATAGCTGACCATTGTAAATGATATCACTTACTGCTTTAGATATCTGAAAATAGAGTGGTTAAATGGTTTTGGAAGAGTTGCTGCCAGATCGCAATATAAATGTACTGAAAACGTAACTTTATGAGTGAACAAATGACCTCCTCTGAAACCTAACTAATTTGCTTTCCGAACGTAGCTTACTGTGTGAACAATTGATATTCTGAAACCTAGCTTATTGAGCAATTGATATTCTGAAACCTAGCGTACTGTGTGAGCAATTGATATTCTGAAACCTAGCTTACTGTGTTAGCAATTGACATTCTGAAACCTAGCTTACTGTGTTAGCAATTGACATTCTGAAACCTAGCTTACCGAGTGAGCAATTGATATTCTGAAACCTAACTTACCGAGTGAGCAATTGATATTCTGAAACCTAGCTTACCGAGTGAGCAATTGATATTCTGAAACCTAGCTTACTGTGTGAGCAATTGTAAATCAGTATCAGCAAAAATGGTTTTATCTGTCGCTCTGTCAGTATATAATTCAGACTCAACTGTCATGTGACAATTTCACACATAATATCGTAATTACAACATCTAGGCAAATGACCAAATAGATAACAAAAATAGGAAATATACCTTTTTATTTGCATGACCAACAGTTCTGGGATTTTTAACATTGCCATCTGGTGTATCATTTTCAATATAATCAAAGGTCAGATCACCATGGTCGCAGACTTGGGTTCCTGAAAATAACGACTGAATGTAAAAGAAAGTAGGCAGTGGATATACATTTAGTTAAATTCAAAATAAACGCCATGTGAATGTATCAATACCTTTCTTTTTTAATATTATGAAAGTAAAGACATTGAAGAAGGTCATCGGATTTGGACGATCACCTCCACCAAAGCAAATGATGCAAAGTTACGTACCCAGTTGTTCTAGTTTCTCCACAATACCAGCTTCTCTTATTGCTTGAGGACCTTGTTCTGTCCCACCACGTGGCTATAATATAAATACATGATTACATTACATTTACGTAAACCTTTTAAAATATTTTGTCGTTAGAAAATAAACAAGTCTTGACATCGTTTCTCAAAAATTCGTAGGACTAACTTTCACGTAAAGTGAGGAAAAACGTTGATTAATAACGTTTACGCGAGTACGTTAGTCTGTGATATTTTGAGAAACGGGGTTCTGCACTTTTAATTTATTGCAAGTTGCTGTCAAGTCATGGACGTCAAGTCGATAGCACTAGAGCAGCAATAATTCGCATGCTTATAACTTTTAAAAACTTTGATAAATAGTGTATTGCGCTTTCTAAACAGCTAAACGTTCCAATAATGACGAAGATGGCACAAAGAGGTTTCTAATTTTAGAATTTTAAACATCGTTTTAGGCTGATTCGGGTTACCTGTATTGACATGAATGTATGTCATTGAACCCTGGGGCTGAAAAAAAAATCCTTTTTATTCGATTTTCTATTTAGGTAGTTGAAGTATTTGCTTTGGGAAGTGAAGCCGTTGAAATATATACATTATGTGATGTGTCAAGGAGAGCTTACGTCGGTCAAAGCCTTGACAAATTTCAGAAATTGAAAGAAAAGTGAATGAAAGGGCTTTAGCTCCTAAACAAACCACCGTACAATGGAAGTGTTGAAGAGTGTTTTGAATGAGAATGTGTTTAGTAGTTAATACAAATTTCTTAATACCATTGTCTTTATTTAAGGAATGAATGTGGATCTTGTTGTCGTTATGGGGAAATAAACGCTGGTTTATCATGTGACAAGACAAATATATTAAAAAATGTAAATGATGCAATAATCAATTTGTTACTGAAACTTGCAATTTTACACCATTGACAGTTACGCCATTTTTAAGTGATGATTTTAGTCTTTAATAATTATGTAAATAGTCTTCAGAAGTACCAGAGATGTACGAAAATCGGATAATTTCTTCAAAAATAACTATAACTAGAAATTTATTTTCTACTACTATTACTATAGATGTCTTTTAAACGCGGATAATTCTAGACAAACATGTTTGAAGACTCAAATTTCGAAGGTGCACTGTGAACACTATTACTGATTGGTTAAGCTAAAAAAAAAAGGCTGAGACTGAGGTATGATTGGTCAAAAAAATGGCTTTGTATGAACGCCGGACGCTGTATGTTCAGGCTTTGAAACAGATTTTCTTATTAAACTGTATTGAATTACATACATTATTCATTTATTCCCAAATATTCAGTTCAATTACATTCAAATTTGAATCATTAATTTTAGATCATTAATGTTAATCAGAATGTACATATAAATATATTATAAATAAATTATTATAAAGAATTTTCATCTAACGTGAGTCATTCAAATTATTTAATAAAAAAAGCAAAAAGAGCTTTCATTAATGCATATTTTCAACTGTGTATGTATAAATGCACCTATTGACTCTCCATATTATAAACTAATAGTGGGTTTACTTAACATGGGTTATGCGACTCAGGCCACTAAAACTTTTTACGTCAATGATTGTATCGAACGAGTCCGTGTTATTTTTCGAAATCCTCTTTTTCCCTCCTTTTTGGGTGTTTGCATTCTTAATTTTGATTTGGAATTTGATGTCTAAAATTGAATTTTCTTTCAGAATTTGTGAGATGATAAGAGATTTTCATGCGGAAGTATAGTTCTAAAAATAGTCGTTTTGTGTGCAGTGATAGTCAAGCATATATTGATAATATTGAAATAAAATGTAGTGCTCTACTTTCAGCTTGGCTAGCTCAAGAATTTCTCTGTCCAAGCGTTTTGACAAATAATACTGCCGATATATACCCTCTCTACTACGTTTCAAAATTTACTTCTGTATAGCTTAGAAATTGTTGTCACTTTATACCAATATTATTTACATATTTCTACAACTATTTTATATAATATAATACGAACTTGCTGTTGCACAAATAAAAATATTCTTTATTCTAAAAAATTATGAATTATTTTGTATATAGATACGAACGAAACAGACAAATATAAGCATTATGCTTAAAACAGAGATTGTATATAAATTGGACCTCATCTCACGGATCCCGAACAACGACCCTTTTTTCCAAAAAAATGATGTATTATAATATACATAATGTATCACGCATCACATGATTTCAATTCGACACAATATGTACTAAGTAAAAAAGTGCAAGCCACGTAAATACTCGCTAATGACTAATGAGCTCCTAACAAGAACCACTACTGTATCCTGTTTTATATGCTTAAAATCACTTTATTACTTAATTAATTCGACAACCCAAGTCGGTTCAAAAGGGTGAAAACATAGGCTATCCTTTGGCAACGAAAAGTAAGGACATCAATAACATAATTTAATTGAGAGCAATATGTCGAAGAGACGTCTCTTGATTTGTCGACGCGTGGTCTGAAGGTTGTCGACGAGATATCCAGGTTTGTCGACGAGTTGAATATCGCTTAATATCGATACCTCGCTGACGAAGTTCTAAAAATTTTTTGGAGTCTTCTCGTCATTTTTATGGACAGCAAAATGCAGAAAAGGCTGATTGAAAAATGTTTTTAGAAACAATTTGGAAATTGTGCAGTTGTCTCAATCGAGGAAAAATAATTATTAAACTTTGATTCTTCTTTTGTTTTAGATTTGTAGTGGCGTATCCGCTTGTTCTAGGGTTTGACTATACGGATATGTATCACAGCGACAAAGATGCTAGCCATAGGATTGACTTCCACTATCGTTATCAAACAGGATTGATGATAAGATCAGTTTTCCGCCAAGCAAACAACTTAAAGAGGCAGTGTGATTTTGTCGTAGGGCAGAAATTTTTTTTGCTCAAATTTATGAAAACTATACTATAAATTTAGTGTCACTTAACTTATTTGAAAGTTTTAACTAAAACATACTACTGCGGATCTTTAATGTGCAGTATAGTTATGTCTACCAGAAGCATTGTAGGACGCCGCGGTATTCCAGCAATTTAGAAGGGGGTTAGGGCAACGAAAATAGTTTTATGGCTTCCTGATTGATCAAGAAGCTGAAAGACTCCCATATCAGCCTCCGACATGCATCACTGCAGGAGTGCAACAGTGTGTAACGGTGAAATTTTAACTGTCACTGGCAATATCCAGCTCTGTTAAGCTTATCAATCGGCCGAGAAATGCTAAACTTGAACTAAGCTTTTGTAAGCCAGACCACCAGTCGTGGTCGATAACCCTTATGCTGGTAAATGTATAATAACCAAGGTGCTCAATATGTCCTGATTTTGAATCAACAATCAAGCTTTCATCATGTATTGAATATGTAATATTAGAATAGTAGCGTCATTTTATATCTTTATTGAACAGTTAGCTGAATATATTTAAGTATATTCTACATGTGATATAGATAACATTATATAGTTAATAACTAAATAGCACATTGATTTATTTTCATATTTCATAGCTATTTCCAGCGTCCTTCAAAACTGAAATTTTCTTTCGTTTTGATCATTAAATTACTACGCAATACCTATTATCTTCAAGCAGTTCTTGTTGAAAAATTAATTTCTGTTTTAAAAAATTATCAAAATATTTCACTTACCTGCCCCTTTGAAAAGGGAATTCCTAAAAGTCCAACTTTCTTATTTTCAGTTATAAAAGGCATTTTGCACGGTATAATTATAATATTATTCAGCACAGAGACGTGAGTCGCACAATGTCGGAGTTTTTCAATATTCTGCCCACTTTGAAGATTTCAGCTCTATTTATGCAAAACTATTCCATTATAATAATAAGAATGAATGAAAGGGGCGTGGCTTATATGAAGTACCTGCTATTACGTCTTACAGGTAAACACACTGTCACGTGATCCAAATCAACAAATTAAAACGTCGGGTGTTTTATAAAGAGATTAATCTATTGTGAACAATTTAGGTACTTTCACGAAGAAATGATGCTTTGTTTATGCAAAACTATTCCGTTTTGATAATAACGAATGAATGAAAGGGGTGTGGTTTATATGAAGTGATCCACATCAACCAATTAAAACGCCGGGTGTTTTATAAAGAGCATAATCTATTTTACTTTCACGAAGAAATGTTGCTTTAATTCTGTTATTAATATGTAAATGTCAATTCACTAGCCCATGATGACATCTTTTAAATAGTTGATCCTCCGTAAAGTGGGTTAAAGTATACATAACCTAGAAATAATACGGGAATGAATCTGTTACATGAAAAAAATGTACAGAATTGTATGACAGAAACATAAAGGGTATCGAAGAGTTATTATATTGAAAAAAAAATCTGCCCAACCGTGGCGGCACCATTTGGGTAACAGTTGGGGCATTCTCCTCCCCACCCCCTTCCGCTTTAGCAAAATGTTTTGCACCCCATATTTTACCTTTGTTTTTATAACAAATTTATAAATATGATTTTTATACGTTTTGATCCTAAGATATGTGTCAGAATGCACCAATCAATTCAATTTTTTGAAGATTTTCTTGGGAGAACCTTCTCAGACCCGAAAGGCTTGGGACTATTACACCTCCACAAAGTTGCCGCATTTTGAACTTAGCCTCGACAGTTGTGCCACTGGGTTAGTCTTCCCCCTACCCCCGGTTTCGGGAGGCTGGCGCCACCACTACAGTCCAAGTATTTTCGGAAGTTAGATAAGTAATTACGTAAAATTTATAGCACAGTTTTCACTAGGAAACCGTTTTAAACACCGAGTTTGAAGTGCATGTCTTGCGCCATTTTTTTTATCAATTGTACCTTAGTCCCAGTAAGGAGAATTGTTTACAATTGTCAATCAGTAACTGTGTAACACAGCTCACCGCCGAAGTTTGAGCCTTCAAATCCAAATGTGCCCAGAATTATCTGAAAAGTCTCGAAACACTGCCACAAATACATCTATAAAAATGGCAAAAGAAATTCCTAGTTTGAGAAATTTTTGAAGAAATTATGCGATACATTATTAGTACTTCTAAGGACTATTTACATATATTGAAGACTCAAATCAATCCCAAAAAATGGCGCATCTGTCCCTTTAAAATCGCACCAATCCGTACTTTTCTTTAATTTTTTTAAATAACATTTTATGTATTTGTAGTACATGTAATTTAAGTGCAACAATACAAACAACAATATTATTTACACTGCTTACAATGCATTGCTTCATTGCCATTAAAAACTTAACTGCGTAGTCGTACAAGAAATGTCCTTTCAATTATGTGGAGCTTGTTTAATCATATGCTTTTTCATATGACAAAGAGTCAATGTTAAAAAAATTGGGGCACTTGACCTGCTTTTCAAAAGCTCTTTCATTCAGCTATCTTAAGTAGTAAATAAGAAGATTATTCGATAAATGAAAAAAAATGACTTAAAAAAAGTATAATGATGACCCGATTTTCGACACATTGTGACAACAATACCTTGAACGTGTTTCCTATACATCAAAAGAAGCCATTATCAGGTTAATTAATCACAAAACAAACTGTTTATTGAATGATGAACCGACACTAATTGACCTAACACCGTCACTTTAAAAGGAACAGGTTCTCCATTTTAGTGGGTTGATGGCAGGATTATATCATGTAAATAGTCTACAGAAGTATTAGAAACGTACAAATATCGCATAATTCCTTCAAAAATATTTGAAAGAGTGACGGCGCCTTAATATGATTGTTATACACGGAGAACCCTCTCAGACACTCAATGATAGGCTTGCGACAAAACACCTCCACAGAGTTGACGAATTCTGTATTAAGCTGTGGCAGTTGACTCCATTGAGTCAGTTTGCCCCATATCAGTAATCAGTAATAGCTCACAGTCGAAATTTTAGCCTTTAAATCCATGTGTCTCCACATGACGACTCGTCAATTTAAGATACTCTGTAATATATAGAAAATACATAAATAGAAATAGGGAGTAAAATGCCTAGTTAGTATTTTTGAAGGATTTATGTGATTTTTATACGCCCACAAGAAATGGGGGGCGTATATTGCCGTCACCCATGTCCGTCCGTCCATCGGTACGTCCGTCCGTCCGTCAATTGCTCGTAAACACTCTACAAGACACAATTCGCCTCTAACGGTGTAATGTTTTGTACTACTCCAACCTTTCCCAAATAGCTTTGGTGATCACGCAGCAGATATGTATAGCATTTGAACACTGTCTCCTTCCTCGAACCCAGGCCAAAATCACTGTTCTCTTCTTCACTTTTCTGCACTATATTGACATAACAATATCATAAAAATGTAATTAAATTATAATTTGTAATTGTATATTTGAATGTTAAATTGATTGGTAACGGATTAGTATAAGCTTCGGCTTGTTTCTGAAACCATTGTTCATATTATGTAATTACCCATTGTAAATCTTGAATAAATATTGTTTTAAAAAAAAAAACAATTCTTGACGGATTTTGACAACTTGGTATGAGTGTTCGTAATCACCCAAGGATCAACCCTATTGGAAATCAGAAGAATCGAAAAATACTGAGTATGAGTTATTGCCCTTGTTATTGAAAACGCGTTCAATTTTTAGCTCGTAAACACTCTAGAAGGGACATTTCTTGATGGATTTTAACGAAACTTGGCATGAGTGTTCGTAATCATCCAAGGATGAACCCTATTGAAAATCGGAAGAATTGAACAATATTAAGTACGAGTTATTGTCCTTGTTCTTGAAAACGCGTTCAATTTTAGCTCGTAATCACTCTAGAAGGCACAATTTTTGATGATTTTGATGAACCTTGGTGTGAATGTTCGTACTCACCCAAGGATGAACCCTATTGAAAATGAGAAGAATTGAACAATATTTAGTATGTGTTATTGCCCTTGTTCTTGAAAACGCTTTTAAATTTAGCTCTTAAACACTAAAAGGCATGATTCTTGCTGGATTTTGACAAAACTTGGTTTTATTATTCAGCCCCTCGCTGAAGATTGAATATTTGCCTTCTAGAGTTTTCATGAGCTAAAAATTGAAGTTCAAAAGAAGTGTATGACTGAAGGTAGAATATTTCATACTGCTCTGCTAAATATTTTTATCTAAAATCAAAGCTGCCAGTGGGTGTATATTACCTTGCCTGGCAAGCTATCTTGTACATTTCAAGTACTTCTAAAGACTATTTACATATATTCAAGACTGAAATCCTACCCCTTCCCAAAATGCCGTAACTGTCCCTTTAAGGTGCCTTCACACCATAGCAATCACCAGTCGACCCTTTTTAGATTTTCAAATATTTTAGTCCCTTGTTGGTTGGCCTAATTGTGTTTTATCGTGTATCTTGACTTACTTCCTTTATAAAAAATGTTCTATTGAAGGTTACCTTCAATAGAACATACGACCCAATATTATTTTGAAAGGGTATATAATTATATAGAATGATGCATATTTTTTTTTAACACACATCCCAGAAGTGATTCATTATAGAGTGATATTTCAGAATATATAGTTTGAAACCTGATGACTTTTGTCTGCTTGTTGATTTTGACCAGCGAAACTCGGAGGCAAAGGTTGTGGAAGTTTTGCCATTGAGGCACTATGTTAGTCGTACTGTAGTTTTTTCACGCTTTTAATGAAATTTGTGATTGGGCATGTAAAAATTTGACAATATTTCGATGAATGACTTGTGGGTTGTTGCCCTTTGCTGAGTTAAAAGGCTTCAAATCAAATCAAAATTTTAATGAAATTTGGTTTGACCATTGGATATTGATAAAACTTCACGAGTTCGAATTTGGCTTAGTTAAAATGAAATAAAATGAATTGAAATGAATTGAGTTTTACGTGCTACTTTTCTGCACCTTAAAAAGTCTAAGTTACAGCGCGTCAACATCTATTTGTGAACATAACATAAGCTACATCGTCAATGGATTGTGATGGATTTTTGAAAGATCATTGATGATTTTGAACTTGACCAAGAAAATAATACCTCCAATTGTAACCTCACTATATTAATTTTCTGACATGTTCAAGAATGTGATTTTTCCCAGACGCTCCATGGGGGTTGGCGCCTATGCCATACTGCTACTGCCTTTTGAATCTTAGCCTCGACAGATGCCCTTTAAATCAGTCTGCCCCTATTTCTATTCCTAATCTTGGGAGTCTGACGACGACAAGGCAGCTGCTCGGTCTTTCTCAACGATTGGAATATTACTCATGTCGACAGGACTTCATTGATCGACAACTAAAACATTGACCAATTGAACAATCTATGTCCGACAATCGATCAGTTCGGTCCCATTGGCTACAGTTAGAGTGTTAGAATTCTGAGGATTTCTTGAGCTACTTGTGTCGATTGTACCAGCAGTTTCCAACTAATATACGGACTGGTTGAACCAAGTCTACAGACCCCAATCCTAAGGAGACCGCACCACAAGAAAAAAAATCTAAAAGGTTACAGCACATTATAAAATGGTTGAAAACTTATGCTGGGGCCCTATCAAGGCCAATATTAAGTAGGCTACTACAGACTGCAAAAATATTTAAATCTTCCAATAACAGGCATTAAATTAATTTACAAAGGGGTCTCAGAATGCAGGGCATATATGCTTATCTAGTCTAGTGTACCAGACAGGCATAGCATCAGAATATCACTATGGACTATGACCTATTAGTAAGCAAATATCGGATTATTATTTTACCTTGTTTATAGACTAAGTTTGTTACCTGGAAATCTATTGTATTTTTGAAGTGTTAAGCCATCCATGAGATCTGTTTGCAATGGT